CCAAGAAGCTCAACAATGCTGCTGCTACTGTCGACGCTGATGTGGGGAGCAATGCTGGTCCGGCCAGTCAAGGCGAAGCGCCTGCCAAGCGCCCAAGAGGCAGACCCAAGAAAGCTGGCGCTGCTGCTGCTGCTGCTGCTGCTGCCGTTTCTGTGCCGCAGCATCAAGAGCAAGAGACAAGTGCAGATGGATCGCGCAAGTCGAGATCTCGCGCGGAAATTGTCTCTCCTCTGCGCCCGGAGAGCACTTCGCAGGCGCACTTGGATGGAGATGCAGAGGAACAGGCCCAGGAAGACTCGGATGATTCGGCAGAAGAGTACTTTCCTTCTACTACGGCTCGTCGAGGACGAGGAGGCGGGCGCACAAGAGGAGGGGCCGGTACTCGACAAAGCACGAAAGATGCTTCTGTTTCTGCCCATTCTGTCCCAGAGAGCGGGAAGAGCAAAAGACGCGCCAAGTTGAAGCTGCCCGACGATGCGCCCAAGAGGCCCGCGAATGCGTATATGCGCTTCAGCGCTCAGCAACGAGCTCTGCACTGGGCAGATCAGAATGGAGCGTCGTTTGGCGAGGTTGCGCAGAAGATTGCTGAGAGGTGGGCCGAAGTGTCTGCAGCCGAGAAGGGCGAGAGGGCCCAGATGGCCAAGCAGGAGCTGGAGGCATGGAGGATGAACATGGTGCAGTGGAAGAGAGACAACCCTGAATGGGCCGAAAAGCTCGATGCTCGCAAACGCAAGATGGGCACTGTGACGGATGGAGAGACTGCGGATGAGGGCGCCACGACCGATGCGAGTGCAGGTGCCACCGAGCGCAAAGCAACCAAGACTCCTCGCAAGCGATCTGTACGAAAGCCGACGCATGGCGAAGGGTCGGACAGTGAAGCTGCTGGCTCGACAAAGCGCCGAAGAGGAGGAGGAGGAGGAAAACGAAAGAACGTTGGTATCAGCGATGACGAGTCTGCTTATGCGGCCGAACTGGCTGCGGTGGGCGGCAATGAGCGCTTGTTGGAAGTGAGCCAAGGCACGCGCATGGCCGACCTCTCCCAACCCGAAGTGAGGATGGGCAGAGCTGGAGCGAGGACGTTCGAACTGCGCAGAACGTACAGAAAGATGGTCAAGGATAGGAAAAAGGAGCTGCCGGAAAGGAGAATGCTGGCTGCTAGAAAGGACAAGGGATCGTTGCGCGCAGAGGAGGTGGAAGAAGAAGAGCGCAGAAAGAGATCGTCGAAAAGCCTGTCGACTGCGCGCAAAGAGGTGCAACAAGCACAGAATGAGGACGAGGTTCAAGAAGAGGAGGTGTTCGATCTGGATAGCGATGGGGAACCTATCGCGCCCTCTTCTCCTGCCGGGTCTGCTTCTCCCGCTCCATCCGGCTTCTCCAACAACTCCTCTGCACACGCCTTGAAGAATAACAAGAACAGCGTGCAGGTCAGAATGTCGAACGGCAGATTAGTGCTAGATGAGAGCACCCTGCAGGTCGATAGAGCTGCAGAGTATGAGGGCGAGGATCGTATTGTCATCGAGGAGAACGAGAAGGATAAATTCATCAACTCGGCGAGCTTTAGCGATCGGAGAGGTCATCAGCGCTGGGACAAGGAGCAAACGCTTGCCTTCTACGCCGTGAGTATCTCATTCTCGGACACGCAAAGACTGTTCACCGTGCTGCTTTCTGATCGCATGCTGATCGTTGATTATTCTTTACAGGCTGTATCGCAATGGGGCACGGACTTTGAGATGATAGCGCGCATGTTT